TGTCTTTGTTAAACAAATGACACCTATATATATAATTATATTTCTATATGAAGGCCAATAACTTCAATTGGTTGCCCTGCAGGCATAGCATAAAGATGTTAAGACCTATAATTTTTAATCTTATAAACTATTTATTGTATCATTATCTCTTCTAAGAAAACAAAGCTTTTGGACAAACAGGCAATTAGTTTTCTCGGGTATTTTAAGGACATAAAAGTTGGTTGAGTGTCAATCTATTGTGTGTCAATCTCTTTTGAAGTAAATCAACTAATTGAACAGAGACGATTAATGAGGCAGTCATGAACTATCATCAGCCACACACTGGTTTCATGTCTCATATCCATTTTCTTTTTTCACTTTCTGTGGTTTCAGTTACTCTGTGACAGTGCAGGAGTCATATGCCCATTCTTTTAATCAGATTTATTACACCAGCTGCACTGACATCCTCAACTGGTTTAAGTGCACCAAACACAGGTAAGAACCAATTAAAATGATACCTGATACGCATGGAAATGTGTGGTGATAATGGGTTTGATTAAATGGCAGTATCACAGTTTTTCCCTGTTGTTTTTCTTTTTTTGTTTATTTAAATCAGACATTGTCGCTGTATATTTACCTCATTGTGGTCTCATTTGCCAGTGTCAAAAACAAGGTCTGAAAGTGGCTTACCCCCTTTACCAAATAAAAGTTGTAATAATAAAGACAAAATTTACAGAAGAATGTAGACATGCTAAATGGACTGGAACTTAAATAGAGCCTTTTATTCACCCAGTTACACTGACATTCATACAGCACTTTTATCTAACGATTAAGACAGTCACATGCCAATGCATGCAAATTGGGGTTCAGTATTTTGCCCGGGGACATGTCAACATGCAGACAAGAGGATCTGGGAATTAGAGCCTTGAACAAGACTATTTTTTTGAATTCTGCTCCCACCAAATTTCTGACCATTACTGTCTGCTCCCACTGTCTGTCTCTGTCACCTGCCTTTGTGATATTTGTGTCCAATCCTGCCTGCATCCACAGAAAGCATTGTAAGATGGTGAAAGATGTACCCTTAGGCCCCCTCCTCGATTCAGAGATGGTCTTTCCCTTTTCACGTAAATGGCCTCCTTGACTCCGTGCTCAAACCAGCGTTCCTCCCTGTCCAGGATGTGACATCCTCATCATTGAAAGAGTGTCCACTGGCCTGTAGGTGTAAATAGACTGCAGAGTCCTGGCCTGACGAGGTAGCTCTTCTGTGCTGCGCCATCCGCTTAGCCAGAGGTTGCTTGTTATCCCTGATGTATAAATCACAACAATCCTCCTGGCACTTAACACTGTTCACTATATTACTGTTTGTGTGCTTAAGGGTACATCTTTCAATATCTTACAGTGCTGTAATTGCAGCCATTCCCCAACTCTCGATGAATGGCACTCGTCATCATGACAGTATTAATGATAAAGAAACTGACCCCTATTGTTAGTCAGTGGTGTTAGTTTCAGCTTGTTTCATTAAAATGTACTGTTCAGAGGGTTGGGGAAACCTGCAGTCAGCTGAGACTGCAGAAATCACTTGGATGAGTGATTAAATATTTCTTCCACTGAAAAAGTTACGTCCAGAGAACAGAATAAGCTTTTTGGGATTTACTTACCTGGATGATTGAACATGCATCAAGTACTGTGGCCCTAGCAACTACCTGGCATTTTGGCTAATGGATGCACTAATCACCATTTATTTACACCTTTCAGAAGGGTAGGGTAGAGTATGGCACCAACACGTTAGCACACCTCTCATAATCCTGCCTTACAGGACAAATTGCACCAATCCCTGCTTCTCCACAGCAACCCAGGTTGTCAGTGGCGGCTCATTTAAACTGTAGGAATGATTTACCCAACATCGGAAAAATACTAGGTCAACTTTAGTGTTATCACACAACATCAATGTAACTAATTAATGCTACCTTAACTTCTCTGGCCCTGCACTTTAAATTGTCCAAGTCAACAAAATGTAAGATTTACCTGTGGTAGTTTATTTAAGCAAGTTATGTAGCGCTAACCTTTGCTTTAACAATGAACAATTTCTTGTCCTTCACCTCCTACACGGTGGCATTACTTACCCATCCAAATCCAAAATACATGTTGCTGTCCATAATTTGAAACCTTTCATTCTGGCTACAATGTTATGGATCCTCTACAAGACACATGTAGACGTGACCAAACTGGAGCTCTGGGAGAGAGGTCACTCTATATACAATACTTTGAAAAAGTATTATATATAGAGCTTTTCTAGTCTTACTCACTGCTTTTAATACACAAGCCCAACTCAGACCGGAAGAGGAGCTACTAGTAACACTACATAGAGTAGATTTTGCAGTAGTTTTGCTCTCTTTGGAGAAGAGTTAGAGTTAAATGATGCTTTTTGGTTATTAATGTCAATGATCCACTTTACACATTTTAATAATATAATAAAAGCTGAAAAACAAAATAATTGGTTACCCAGGGTCTAATTTTGTATGTGACTTAAATTCTTTTCTGCAGGATGATCTATAGAACAGCATATCGTAGTGGGAACAAGACCATGTACCGGAGGAAGTCTCAGTGCTGCCCGGGCTTCTATGAGAAAGAAGAGATCTGTGCTCGTGAGTAACACACACACACACACACACACACAGACAGCCAGCCATGTTTCTATCGCTTTAGAGGATTTCAAGCTATTTCCTTAAACACTAAGAGAGTCAGGAAGACATCTTATACAAGTTTCAGTGCTCTGTGAGACAAATAGTGATTTTGCTTAAGGTCAACTTTTAGTAACACTTTCCTTACAGCCATTTATCACACTTATTAAATCCTGTAATGAATATTTCTTTTCAAATATCTTGTCACACTTACCTTCCCAGCAAGGCTATTACACAACCCACATCCCTCCCTTTTAATAGGCAGTGACAGGTGTTGCTTTGGCAAAACTAACAATTGTAACAGCAGTAAAAAAAAAAAAAAAAGAAGCTTTCTGTCAAGACAGCCTGTTCTCATGGTGGAAAGAGTTGGTGATGAAAAAGTTATGTGTGCTGTGGTGGAAGGGAGAAAACAGTTAATGTCCCCCAGGAGTTCATAGGGGAATTTGTTCTAGTGTGAAAATACTCTGCTTTATAAGTAGCCTAAGCATCACATGCTGCTCTGAGAATCACATTTAATTTGCCAGACACTTTAGGCAACATGCAGTTTCCTGCTGAAAGTTGTATTGGAGAAGGAATCAGTTATATTAAGGATTTATTACTTTTTGTTTGTGTAAAGTGAGAGAAGAATCTGTTTGTTTGAAGTGGGTTAATCAATGCAAATCCAGCTTTAAAAAGAGTAATAATCTTTCAAATCAGTGGCATTTGCTTGGTATTAGTGGAAAGTGAAAATAAATCATAGTCTTGATGGGAGTTGTCTGTTACAAGGACTGTATTTAGAGTTTCTTGTAAAGAAAAATATTTGTTTGCATGAGGAAAAATCTGCTTGAAAAACTCTTTAAATCAGTCAGCTGTAGAAAACACAAAGTAACTAAAAGAAACATTGACATTTTATTGAAAAAGCAAACAATTTCTAAAAGTCCAATTCTGTTTTTGGCCACAAAAACTCTTTAAAGTGTTAAGTCAAGTCAAGTCACAGAGCATTCAAAAAAGAATAGCAAGTCCCAGTTTCCATTTCACAAATCAGATTTATGTCTTTGACATGAACATTTATGTGATTACTACTACATGACTAATTCTAATGTAGATGTGTTTTGATGGGTTATTTTTTGGGGGGACCGTGCTGATCCCTGGCCTCTCTCCCTGTCTCCTCGATGTCTAGCTCATTGTACAGAGAGCTGTATTCATGGCCGTTGTATGGCACCCAACACCTGCCAGTGTGAGCCAGGCTGGGGGGGCTCCAATTGCTCGAGTGGTAAGTCCTCCAGCTGTTGCTGTCTGTTCACAATAATGACTTTGTGAGTGGGATTGGTTTTCTGTAAAAACACTCTGAACTCACAAGAGGAGAATCAGACTGTTCTCGTCTTACTGTACCACACCAATGGCTAGACATACTGCAGGGCCAAAATACTGATGTCAGTCACAACACATGCAAGTCAAAAGTTGGAACGTGAGCATGTAGGAACTCAGGAAATTAGTGGATTTAGTTTTGGTAATCAGATCTTCTTACATAGGAACTTGTTATAGGATTTTAACTACCTGTCCTCCTTAGACATATATATATAGATATTTTTTAATTTCACAGGGAATTGGGGGGGTTTTAGTGGGTGGCAGATTTTTTATGTAATCAGACCAGTTTAGCAACTAGACTTTTTGTGCAACCTGGCTGCAGCAATTGATTAATTCTCTAAATGTTGACTTAAAGCAAGTTCCTAAAATGCTAAAGGTGACATGATGCACGGAAAATAGTTTTGAGTCAGTTTTGTTTGATTTGGATTTTGCACTCTCCTCACATGGAGCATTTCTTATCAGCAAGACATCAGGACTATATCACTTGACTCTACTTCACCAACACTTTTTCTTGTCTGCACAACACGGGAGGCATTAAGGAAGATTTACATAGCTTACTGTGTGATATTTATAAACCACGTGCTTATCAACTTCATTCACAAGAAAATCACAAAACAAAAAACACACAGCACCTGAAATACAAAACGGGTAGTATACAAACAAAAATACAATTTTGCTGCGGTGTATGTCTGTGTGTGTGTGTAAGAGAGAGAGAAAGAACAATTGGAAAAATTGTGAAATTCTGTGTATGAGCATTTCTCATGCAACATATTTGATAATGAGGGTCAGAGAATGCAATACAAACCCCTGGGAGCCAGAGGCAGACAGTCAAAGACTCAGGAGAGCTACACTGTACACCGACCCCAGAAGTGCTGAAGACCTGAGGTCACACACCTAGACGAAAACCATGGGTCCAACCCAGCAGGGGGAAGAGGGAGGAACTGGTGGAGGACTCGGTGGAGGGCCCACAGCCAAAGGGCAGGAGTGCCAGACAACCAGAGGCAGCAGGCAGCCAACCGCGGCAGAGGCCAGCCTTCCCAGCATCAGCTGAGGATGGGAACCCAGGCGCGAGAACCTCCTGACGGAGCCGACTTGATGAGAGGTCCAAGCCTCCCCATACCACAATCCCAAGGGAGCAGGCCAGCCAACGCCAAAATCTCCACCCAGGGTGCCATTGGAGTGCTAGCTCCAGCCAGCAGTGAACCTGGGACGCAGGCAGACTGGCCCCAGATCAGCAGCCAACCTCACCGCCAAAAGACAGGGTGCAGGAAACAGGGGTGTAGGCCACTTTTAACAGCTGTTAGTGTCAAAGGTAGGCCTTTTGGGTCCATGTGTTGGTGCACGTCACAGTACGAGTAAATAGTGAGTAGGACTGTGTGAAATCTAGACTAAACCACTACTGATGAGGGAACAGATGCGACATGAGAATGTGGCAGCTGGTTAACAGTGCTCATCCAATTAACTTTGACCCATGTGGCACATGTTCCATCCCTCCCCACGACCCTATGTGTAAAAGTGACTGATAATCAGAGGAGGTTGAGGAGGAGAAGGCATGGGATCTCTAAGACCAGTTGACTACCCTTGAAGGAGAAAGCCACTTCTGCTGGCTCAGTAAGCACTTCTGTTTCCTCTATGACACTGCAGGGCAACAAAAAATTGAACCAGGGGCCCGTGCAAATGGCACACCCTACCACCGCTGCACCAAAGGCTGGCACACTGCTGACGCCACTATAAAGAGTATTCTAACATGTGCAGACATGCCCCAAATCTGGGGGCCCATCTGCGCATGGAGCCAGTAACCCGCTCAATCTACAAGGACAAGAAGAGTCAAACTGAGTCTGAACCTAGTCACTGCGCCTACCCACCCAAACTGTGTCAACCACTCCAGAATGCCAGAACATTCGGCCACTTGCTCTGGAACCAACAAGTACCAGCATACCGGGGAGGGGCATCAACATCAAGCAGGGAAAAATAAGGAGGGGTAACCTCACCCTCCATGACCTTGTCCCATAGCGGCCAAGGCTCAGCAAGCCCCAGACCCAGACATGGACACAGACACCCGGGGAACCCTCTTTTGATGATAATGTTGTCATTAAAAATCATGAAAAATAATCCCAGGGTGTTATCTGACACCATTAATAGCATTATATCCTCCCCTCCTCCACATGCATTGATAGCCTCTGGCGATGACTTTAATGTATTTCTCCATGATTTTGTAAATAGGGTGATGGACTTAAGCTCGAAATTCTCCTTAGGTTCCTTGCCTAATGGGGATTGCCCTCAGTGCTTTCATTCATTTACCTCATTCTGTTCAATTACACTAAGTGACTAAGTTAGAATAATGGTTAAGCTGAAACCTTCATCACCATCTTTAGGGATCTTGCATCCCTCTGTTCTTTTTGGGTCCTTCGTTGCTTTCTATCATTAACAGCTCACTGAAGCGAGGTTGTGTTCCATCTTACTTTAAGCATGCTGAGGTCATTCCATTACTTAAAAAACCTAGTCTTGATGCCACGTCTCCTAGTAATTACCGGCTTATTTCAAAATGACCATTTATTAGCAAATTATTAGATAAAGTTGTCAAATCAATTTATTTATTTATTATGCAAACTACACATTTCTGACCCTTTTCAGTCCGGTTTTCAAAAGCAGCACTCCACTGAAACTGTTCTTTTAAAGGTCTGTAATGATTCTTTTGCTTTGTGCTTGTGTTGCTTGACCACAGTGCTGCCTTTGATACTGACCATAATATTTAATTACTAGGCTGAAGGTTTTGGTTGGTAACTCTCGCTCACCACTAGATTGGTTTTCCTGCTATTTATGTGAGAGAACGTTCTGTTGGGGCAAGCAGATTCTCCTTCTACACTGCTGGTTTAACCTGTGGCATTCCTCAAGGTTCCATCCTGGGTCCATTGCTATTCTCCTTTCACATGCTTCCTTTAGCTGGTATTATTCGATCTTTCTCAGGCATTTCTTATTAATTTGATGCTGATGACATTCAACTGTACTATGTCTTTTAAGCCTCACCAGCTGGATAGGTTGTCTACCCTAGTTGACTGTTCATCTCATTAGTGACTGGCTTTCCAACAATTACTTTGTTTTAAATTCTGACAAGACTGCCATGATTATAGCTCCTCCTGATATACAATCAAGAATCAGTCAAATGATTGCTTCTTTTTACTTGGTAATTTTGGTGTAATATTTGATTCCTCCTTGAACATTGACTCAAATATAAAATTTTGCTTAAGATCCTCTTTCTTTTATTTAAGGAGTATTTCTAAATTGCAACCTATAGTTTCCTCCTATGAAATGGGAAAAAATTTTCATGCATTTGTATTATGCGCTTAGATTACTGTAATGCCTTTCATTTTGGCTTAAATCATCTCTGTCACACCTCAAGCAATAAAAAATGCTGCAGACAGATTCCTGACACACTCTCGTTTTATTTTCTCAATATTGGCTCTTGGTTGATATTAAAATTCATTTTAGGAGTCTCACAATTGCATACAGAGCAATAAATTTCCCCACCAAATTTCCCAGAGGAACCCACCCGAGGGATTAATAAAGTTTTATCTTATCTTATCTTATCTTATCTTATCTTATCTTATCTTATCTTAAATAGACAAGCTCCACACTATTTGTCCCAAACATCTTTTTAAACACACTGCTGCTTGTTGCCTCCATTCACATGCTCAAAATCTATTAGTTGTACCTCATACAAGAGTGAAGACTGGAGTGGACAAAGCTTCCAGGCTATGGAACAGTTTATCACTCCAGCTCTGTTTAGCTGACACTGAGTCTTTTAAGGAATAGTTTTCTTCCATTTAATCAGGTTTTTTGCTGATTTTCTTTTGTTGTGTGTCTGCTGTGGCAGACATGTGGAGTGGAGAGAGTGTGGACCCAAATGCAGACTTCAGAAATGGACTTTTTTTGAACACAAACAAAAGCACAGTAAGAAAACGACTAAACCTAAACAGGGAGGAAACTAGAAGCAAGTATAAAGAAACTAAAAACCTGAGTCATGGGAAATTCAGTGGGTGATATGCAGACAATCGAGCAACAAACAGAGGAAGACAAAAACTACGTGTACACTAATCCGAATAAATTTGAAAATGGCGTTTTAGTCTAAAAATGCTCCGCGTCCACACTACTGTGTACAATTGTTTTCATCCACACTGAAAGCGCTTAGATTCCTGTACTACGCATGCGTGAAACCTGCGTCATTTCTGCCGTGTATTTACTTTCCAGCTCTTTGAAATGTTGGGGCAAAATGTCGAGGAAAAGAGGAAAAACTGATATTATTCTTTAATAGGGCTGCCAAAATTGAGAGCAAACAAAGCAACTGCTGTACAGCACCAAACGCCATTTTAGTTGAATTGGTCACATTGGGAAGCAAAACTGAAAACACTAACATATTACACGAGACTGTCCTGGTAAAACAGGAAACATGAGACAGGCACTTGAAACAATGCGAAACACAGACATGAAAAAATAACTTGACTAGACGCAACACAAGGACCACAGGGGAAGCACAGAGACAGACACCAAGAAATCCAAGACATTTGTTTTTAAACATGGTTCACTGTTGACACTGTATCTTAATTGTCGTTCAGCGCTTTGTGACTGTTATGTCTGTGAAAGGGGCTAGATAAATCAACTTTACTTACTTACTTGTGGCTCAACGAAAACAACAAAGAGCGATCATCTTTGTATCTCACCGACACCGAGGTCTAATGTATGATTTAAAACACATCAAGCATTCCTATATTCTACTGTTGAAATAATGATCATGATCTTTCAAAAGTAAGTAAAAGTAATAAAGAACTATAACATCTAAATACTTCTACAGTTACATGATAAATTCAATGATCAACAGAAATGGAAATGTCATAACTGAAAAGACTT